GCTGCTACTATGTGGTGCAATCTGTGTCGTTCAACCAACGTGGCACAACATGGGTTGTGCACTCTACGCTGTGCCAAATCATTTGTGCAATTCACGTGAGGCAGTATATGCGATGCAAGCTGTGTCGTGTAAGCTATGCGTTACAATATATGTGGCGCAGTCGACCCTGTCGGACTTGATGTTGTCAGCTCCACTGCTCGCGTAATTATCCCTCCGCCCAGCCGCATAACTTGGGTTGCGAAGCTCATGCGGCGGCGATTGCGATGAGTGCTTGGTGTTGGCGGGTGCATCTCTGCGGCCGCGCTAGCCCGCGCGTGCTTGCGCTTGCAGCGGCCGGCTAGTGCTGCGCGACCCGCGCGCAGCCGCGGTGGCGCTGTCCGCTGGGCACTTCCCAGCGGGCACCTCAGTGCTGGGCGGTGACTTGGGCGGGCGCGGTATATTGGCAACGTCGACGACGGTAGACGCCACGATGATGGTAGCGCTGCTGGTGACCATTGTGAACGTAACGACGGCGCAGCCAATGACGGCGCCGCTGCTGATCGCGACGACGACGGCGACGGCGTCCTTGCGTTGGCGATGAAGGTCCTGGAACGAGTTCGACTTGCGCGCGCGGCCGATGCGCGAGAGTGGCCCGCGCGGTGTTATTTGACTCTTGCCCCCATGCGCGCAGGGGAGTTCGCGTAATTTCCACGCGCAGCGCGGGGGGCCCGTCAGACCGAACTGACTGGACATGTTGGAACAACAAGAAAGGAAAATCGCAAGAGCGCGAACGCAGGCATCTCTTGAAACGCCAGTTTGCAACGCAGTGTTTCATGTATGTTTTCGGGGCGCTCGACTTCGGAATCCTTACAAAACCGAGGGTGTTGAAGGATAGAGGCATGCGCGCGCGACGGCGCGCGCGTGCACTTCGTTCCATCGTTTGGGGAACGAGTGCGCACTTAATATTCTTGGCAGAGGAGGATGGGGGCGGGGTGGGGCGGGGTGGTGCGTGTGTGTGTGTGTGTGTGTGTGTGTGTGTGTGTGTGTGTGTGCGTGCGTGCGTGCGTGTGTGTGTGTGTGTGTGTGTGTGTGTGTGTATGTGTGTGTATGTGTGTGTGGGGGGCGATGCCGAGTAGCTGGGGTGGTGTGAACTCAAATTTGAGGTGGGCGACGGGGCGGAATCGCTCGTGAACCGCTAGACGCAGATGGGGCGCCCCGTTAATGCCCGGGAGGGGGGGGATAATCCTGGTGCTCTTGTAGAGTGGAGCATCTATGCGGTGCGGTTTTTGCGGTGCAATCATGTAGGTGGCGCAGGTCGCAAATGCTCGCAGTGAGTCTTTGATTCCACTCCTCGCGCAACCATCCCGCCCGCCCACCCACCGCTTGTTAGTTTGCAAGACCTATGCGACGGCGATTGCGATGAGTGCTCGGCGTCGGCCGGGGCATCTGCGGCCGCGCTGGCCCGCGCGTGCTCGCGCGCGCGGCGGCCAGTTAGTGCTGCGCGACCGATTCAGCTGCAGTGGCCCTGACCGCTGGGCACTTTCCAGCGGGCACTTCAGTGCGAGTCAGTGGCTTGGGCGGGCGCGGTATCGCGGCGCTTCCGACAGCGGTGGGCGCGATGATGAGAGTGGCGATGCTGGTGACGGTGGTGGCTGAGACGACGGCGAGGCCAATGGTGGTGCCGATGTTGATCACGCCCGCCGATAACGATGACGATGTCCTCGCGTCGGTGATGAAGATTTTGGAAGGGGTTCGACATGCGCGCGCGGCAGACGCGCGCGCGAATGGCCCGCGTGGAATTATTGGGCGCGGATCTTGCACCCCCCCCCCGCGCGCGCGCGCAAGGGCGTTCGGATGAGTTCGGCGTGCGGCACGAGAGGCCCGCTTGGCAGAAATTGATGACAGTGGGAAACCAATGGTTTTCGGGAGAATTAGCAAAAACGCGCATTTTTCGTGGGAGAGCTGAGATTGCAAAACCACGTGTTTTGTTTGTGTTTTCAGGGCACTCGTAAGTTTGAACAGCTTATGGTTTTCTCAAACAACTTCAATAGCGCGAGCGCAGTTTTTTGTTTGTTTGTTTGTTTGTTTGTTTGTTTGTGTGTGTGTGTGTGTGAACGCAAATCCATTTTTTTTTGTGGTATGTTTTCGCGACATTCGATTTGAAATCCTTACGAAACCTGGGGTGTTTGAGTCATGTCGGCGTGCGCGCGCGACGACGCGTGCGTGTGCATGTTTTGTCAAGGATTCTTGAAAGCTGTTTGTTTTCGATAAACGAGTGTGCGCGTAAAAAAATGTTTGCAGAGGGTGAGGCGGGATACCGGTTTAGTTGGGACGAAACGGGTCCATATTTAGGATTGGCGATGGGGCAGAGTCGTGTATGCAAATTGCACATCCCCATGGGGAACCGATAATTCTGGGTTTGTGTGTAGATCCTAATGCTCTTCTAGGAAAAATCTACAGCGGCGGCGGGGTTGCGACGGGGCGGCGACGGTTGCCACATAGCCGCCAGGCCGAAAGACAGGCCCAGACGATGGGCGGCGACGATCCGGCGACGGCAGCCACATAGCCGCCAGACCGAAGACGCGGCCCAGACACTGGGCGACGAGGAGGCGACGGGGCGGCGACGGCGGCCACATAGCCACCAGACGGAAAACACGGCCCAGGTCGTTAGAACAGACGTTGCCACCCTTTAAGTGCAGGCATTGTTTGGTGTCAATCAATGTTTTTCCCTTTTCTCCGAGGCCTTCTGGACGGTGCGCTAATGGGTCGCGACCCCCCCTTATCCAGACCCAGGGGGATGGGGTAACGGGATGGGTGAAGACACACTCCCCGACCGCAAGCTGTCTCGCTCACTCCCGCTCGCCCTCCCAATGCACAAGTAGCGCCCGAGTCTTAGCATGTTCAGCGGTCGTCTAAGGATGGACAGCTTCTGGAAACCAACACAGACCCCAGGTGCGCGACGCTGGGGCGAGTTGCGCCACGCGTGCCAGGCGTGCCAGGCGCGCCACGGGCGCCAGGTGCGCCAGGCACCCCTGGGGCCCAAGCGTGCCACGCACGCCTGGCGCGCCATCTGCGCCACGTGCTCCACGTGCGCCATGTGTGCCGCATGGTCCAGCCGCGCCAAGTGCGCCACGTTTGGGGCACGCGCCAAGTGTGCCCGGTCACGTGACAGCACGCATCGGGAAACATGTCGGCCCCCATCATCTTTGTCGAAACCATTGCACAGTCGCGGCGGGAGGGCCATCATGGTGTCAGCTGGGCCTGCGCACAGCAGGTAATATGCCAGCACCCCCGACGTCCTTGTCAAAAGCTAATGGACAGTGATTGCGGGTTGGCCGCGCGTGATCCAGATTTAGCCGCGAATTGCATGTTGTATTGTTTTTTGACAGGGTGGTGGCCTTGCGCACAGGAGGCGATGTGAGTTCCCCCCGCCGTCCCTGTCAACAAAAAATGCAACGTGCTCGCGGGCCCGACGACTATGACCCAACATTTTTCTTAAAGTTGTAGTTTGTTTTTTTGGACTGAGACAGTGGGGGGGGTGTCACTGGTCCTGGTTGGCTGCCGGTCGCCTGGGGGAGGGGGTGTCCCTTAATGAGGAACAGTGACTAGCCCCTCTCCGAAGGGGGAGAAGGGGGGTTGGAAGTTGAAGCGCTCTGAACCACACCACCTTCGCCCTAAAGTGCTTGTGGGATTTCTATGGCCGATTTGGTTTTCCGATCCGATTTTTGGGCCTACTCCGGGGACGACTTTGTGCCGCAGGATTCGACTCCGTCGTTTCTCGCGTCCGTCGCGCTGCCAGAGCACACGCCCCAGGCCTACACGGGGTCTCCAAGGGGCCCCGGCGTTCCCCGGAGAGGCCCCCCTCTATATGAGCCCGCCTCTCGGGCGCAGAGGGCTGGCGCCGAAGGCGTCCTCATCCTCTGGGGGGACGGTGCCATCTGGTGTATTCGACCGCGTGTGGCTCTGCCGTCGAGCACACCAAGACGGCGTGGTTGTCAGAATTGTGGGCCCGTGGTTGCAATCTTCCAGGGTATTTGCACAGCGGAGCGCGGCACCTCCTTGCTCGCAGACCGCTGCCCAGCATTTTCAGGCGCCCGAAGGTTGGCGCTGCGCCGCCTGGCTCCATGCACAGGGCAGCGAACGCCGGCCGGACAGCATCGGTCGGAGCGGTGGCTCTGGCAGTCAAATCGTGGACGAGGGTGGCCTCCTTGCAGGAGAGGAAAAAACACACGCAGACACGATGAATCCTCGATTCCCCAGAAAATGTGGGAAACAACATGGGAGGTGGGGGGGGGAAGACAGAAGCCCCGAGAAAATATGGGGAGATGTGGGGAATACTTTTGTCTGTGTGTGTATTTATTTGTGTGTCCTGGGGCCCCTTCACTATCCAACGCACGTTCTGATCCGATCCGACCTCCCGATTAGATGTCGACGGATCCTGCCAGCATGACTCTGGCAACTCGGATCCGCCACGTGATGTGAGAGTCTCAGGATGGGGGACGAGAGGGAGGTGTCAAGTGGTCGAAGCGCTCGAAGTCTCCGAGCCTTTCGAATCGAAGTCCGGAATCTCTGCTGACTTCTCCTCGCTCGCCTCCAAGCTATCGCCCTGCGCGCCCAGATGGGAGAGTCGCTTCTTTTTGATCAGTGCGAGAGGCCTCTCGAACTAAACAGCTTCGGTACATGCTACCATGCTTGCTCTATCTGCTGCCTGCTGCTATTGTACGTGCTAACGTGCCTGAAACGAGGGGGGGGGGGAAGTCTGATCTAACATCTTACTCAGAGAACCTCCGAAACATACACTGCATGTAGTACAATTCACAGGACGGAATGAGGAGGAGGAGGAGGAGGAGGAGGAGGAGGAGGAGGAGGAGGCGGAGGAGGAGGACGAAGAGGAGGTGAGGATGAGGATGAGGATGAGGAGGAAGAGGACGAAGAGGAGGAGGAGGAGGACGAAGAGGTGGTCGAAGCGCTCGAAGCCCCTTCGTCCTTGCCCCGCCGCGCCCGAAACAGCGGCGGCCCAGGAGCTGGACGAGCTCCGCCCGCGGTCGAGGCCCTCGGCGCCTCAGAGCGGGCGGGCGGCCGCCGGCGCCTCGGAGCCGGACCTTGGGGTGGGGGGGAGAGGAGGAGAGGGGGAGGAGACCTCTCCTCCTCCTCCCTCCATCCCCTCCCCTCCCACCTCCCCCCCTCCTCCTCCCTCCCTCCTCCTCCTTCCTCCTCCTCCTCCTCCTCCTCCTCCTCCTCCCTCCTCCTCCTCTCCTCCTCCCTCGGGCGGGGGGGAACAGCAGCTCGAAGGAGAGACATCGGCGTTCCGTCGGGCACTGTCCCCCTGCAGAAGGAGTATCGGGGCCGGACAGACCTCCTGCCCTGACACTTGAAGCTCGCTGAGGGGCAGCGAGCGCGATCTGTGTTTCTGGGGCGACGGGGGAGAGGGCAGTGCTTTTGTAGGGCAAGAGCAAGCATGAGCAGCCCAATCGTCGGCAAGAGTAAACCTGAAATCAGAGCTTCTCGCGAAGGGCGGCTGTAAGAATTGCTGTTGACCGATCAAGCGCGCCCGCCGAGCGTACGGGGATCTGGCCCCGGGAACAACGCTGCCCCCCCAGCGACCTTCAACCTGACACGTCGATTAGTGAACTGGCTGTTTTCGGTTCGCGGGAGGGCGTCGCGGCCGTCACTTTGTGCGGGTCCAGGTCCATCGGTTTCGGTCCCGGGCCGTTTTGACTAAGGGGAGGTCTACGAAAGGGAGGTGTGTCCAGCGCCGAGAATATTCAGAAGTAGTCAATAAAAAGGTCAGGGGACGATCTTTCAGACTTGTTTGGTCATGTATGCATACTTGATGATGACTGTTTCTTCACAACTCCGCCTGCAGCAGGACATGCCCGATCTGACACGAGTATCAACTTTCGGAGGTCTGCGCGGATGTCTTGGATCGGCGCCGGGCCCCTCCTGGCGGCGCCTCGGGTGCTGCCCCTGGCGCACCTCGCGCGCCAGGGAGTGGGGTCCAGCGCCGGCGGGACAGATCCACGCGGACCTCCGAAGGTTATGCTCAGAGTCAAGGCGCTGAGCTGAGGAGCAGCTCGGGCTTGGAAGTTGCTCGCAGTTCCCTCGGCCACTCCGTGTGGTTGCTCCCATCTGGTGCCCCTCGTTCCTCAAAGTGCTCTTGTGGGCCGACCACGGCCTTGCTCCTTACTCAGCACTCCCTGTGTTAGGATCTCAGGGCCAATTTTGACTCGACGGATACGATTCGATGCCGAGACCTCGCCCGGCTCGGTCCGATTCGCTCTCGACTCCTCGGCGCGCCGAGGCCGCCCGATGCCTGCACCGCCTCGGGGGTGTATCCGGGCGCAGCCGGTCCGATTCGATCCCGAACCGGTGGAGGAAAAGAAGCACACAGACACAATTAATCCTCGATTCCCCAGAAAATATGGGAAAATATGGGCAGTGGGGGGGAAGACGAAAATCCAGAAGATATGGGAAAATATGGGGAATATCTTTATTTGTGTGTATTGATTTGTGTGTCCTGGGGTCCCTTCACTATCCAACGCACGTTCTGATCCGATCCGACCTCCCGATTAGATGTCGACGGATCCTGCCAGCATGACTCTGGCAACTCGGATCCGTCACGTGATGTGAGAGTCTCAGGATGGGGGACGAGAGGGAGGTGTCAAGTGGTCGAAGCGCTCGAAGTCTCCGAGCCTTTCGAATCGAAGTCCGGAATCTCTGCTGACTTCTCCTCGCTCGCCTCCAAGCTATCGCCCTGCGCGCCCAGATGGGAGAGTCGCTTCTTTTTGATCAGTGCGAGAGGCCTCTCGAACTAAACAGCTTCGGTACATGCTACCATGCTTGCTCTATCTGCTGCCTGCTGCTATTGTACGTGCTAACGTGCCTGAAACGAGGGGGGGGGAAGTCTGATCTAACATCTTACTCAGAGAACCTCCGAAACATACACTGCATGGAGTACAATTCACATGATGGAATGAGGAGGAGGAGGAGGAGGAGGAGGATGAGGAGGAGGAGGCGGAGGAGGAGGACGAAGAGGAGGTGAGGACGAGGAGAGGTATCAGGGGGTGGGAACTTCGCATCACGTGATGAAATCCCACTGCCTGTGATTGCATTGCGACTTCTATTCTTCTCACGGCGGCCCCGTCGATCGTCGATCGTCGATCTTCGAACCTCGATCTTCGAACCTCGATCCTTGATCTTCGATCCTTGATACTTGGATGTCGATCCTTCACCCCGGCCGTCGCTGATCCTCGCTCCCCGATCCTTGAACGCCGAACTCCTCGATCCTCGAGTCTGGGCCCTCTTCGCCGATCGAGGATCGACGATCCACGTTCGAGGTTCGAGGATATTCTTCTTCGTCTTCGTCATCTTCCCTTTCTTCTTCTTCTTCTTCTTCTTCTTCTTCTTCTTCCTCCTCCTCCTCCTCCTCCTCCTCCTCCTCCCTCCTCCTCCTCCTCCTCCTCCGCCTCCGCCTCCTCCTCCTCCCCCCTCCCCCTCCGCCGCCTCCTCCTCCTCCTCGTCCTCCTCCTCCTCGACAGGAGCTCAGCGTCAACAGGCCAGACCCAGCCGAAGACCAGGCTGCTGCCGCCGCACGAGCCGAGGACGCTGCTGGACGAGACTGCGGCCCCGCCGCCGCCGCGGGCGCGCCCAGCGCCGCGGCCGCCCGCGAGGAGCGCGGAGGCGCGGGGACCCGCAGGCGCTGGCCCGCCGCGGCCGCCGCGCCCCCCGGCGCGCGGCCGCCCGCCGCCCCCGACGCCGCCGCCGCCGCGACGACACGCACGCCCTGAGCGGGCGAGCGCTCCGCGGGCGGCGGGCGGCGGGGCGGAGCCGTCTGCGACGACCGACGAATCGCCCCCAGCGAGTCGCCCCTCCCCCTCCGCCTCCTCCTCCTCCTCCGCCTCCTCCTCCTCCTCCGGTCCTTTTCCTTGTGCATAGCTTCTCCCTGTCGCACCCCGAGGCCAGTCTTGAGGGCGGGCCAGGCGTTTCGCTGGAGGCTTTCTCACCTTTGTGACTCTGAAATTTAAACATTGGCAGAGGTTTCGCAGATGGAGGGCGGGTCGTTTTCAAAATGTGGCTCTCGCCTCAGCGCGGCGCACATTCGTTTCAACAATTGCAAGAGTTTCACGGATCGAGGGCGAGTCGTTCTCAACATGTGGCTCTCGCCTTAGCGCGGCGTATATTCGTTTTAAACATTTGTCAGAGCTTCACGGATTGAGAGCGGATGGTTTTCAACATGTGGCTGTCACCTTAGCGCGGCGCACATTCGTTTTAATACATTTGCAATCGTTTCAAGGATTGAGGGTGGGCCGTTTTCAAAGTGTGACTCTCGCCTTAGCGCGGCGGCGCCGAACAATATACAAGAGTTTTACGGATTGAGGGCGGTTCTTTTTCAACATGTGGCTCTCGCTTTAGCGCGGCGGACATTCGTTTAACTTTTCGTAAGAGTTTCACGTACTCCCATCACCAACTTCCTGAAATGGAGTTCTGAGAGGATTCAGGATTGTGCTGGCTGCAACAGTTATGTTGGTTCGCTGTGTTGAAGGCCCAGGACTGGCGTCCTGGCGCGACTCAGGACTGTCAAGACGCAACAGTCAGGTTGATCCGTGGCGTTGGAATCCCGAGAACAATGTTTTGGCATGCTTCAGGGTCTTCAAGAGGCTGTCTTCGAAAGAGGCAGTTCCTTCAATCGAAATGAACCGTTGTAGGGGCCAATGAAGAGGGAGCTTGGACGGAGGATTTATTCCAGCATCGTTGATGACTATTGGGTTTACACTGGTCCTCCTCCTCTCCTCCTCCTCCTCCTCCTCCTCCTCCTCCTCCTCCTCCTCCTCCTCCTCCTCCTCCCCCTCCTTCTCCCCCTCCCCCTCCCCCTCCGCCTCCGCCTCCACCTCCTCGTCTCTGACCTCCTCGAAAACGCAGGATGGAGGATGGAGGACCGAGGATCGAGGATCAACGATCTCGACTCGTGTCGGCGTCACCCCAACATACTCACAGTGAGTGTGCGTGCCGGGAAGCCCTCTGTTGGGAGCTCCGTGGCGGGCGCTCTCTGGCCCCGCCGCTCGTGAGACGGCACGCCACGAGACGGTCATGCTTTCTCCTCGGGTCGGACGCACGCCTCCGAGGAGGACACACAGCACCCCGAGATCCGACGTTGCGAAAGAATGGCAACATCGCGAAAAACCGCGACCGAAGCCCTGGTCCTTCTCTTTCTGCGCCGTTTTTCGAGCCGGACCGATCTGTGAGGCTCCTGGGGCCCAGAACTGGGCGAACACGCCTGGGGTGACGAACACTGCAGCGCCAGGATCTCGGGGCACCGGCGTGCCCTCCTGCGTCGCATCCCGTGCCGATGCCTCTTCTTCCGGCGGCGGCCCGCTCCTCCGCCGGGAGCAGCCGCGCGGCGCGGCGCCGGGCCCAGGAGCCCGGCGAAAGGGCCGCGGGCTGGGGGCCCCGCCGCACCAGGGCGGGCGGGCCGCCGGGCTAGCGCAGGACCCGTGGGGCCGGCGGAAGGGCTCGGGTGCAACGTCAGGAGGAGGAGGAGGAGGAGGAGGAGGAGGAGGAGGAGGAGGAGGAGGAGGAGGAGGAGGAGGAGGAGGAGGAGGAGGAGGAGGAGGAGAGGAGGAGAGGAGGAGGAGGAGGAGGAGGAGGAGCGGAGGAGGAAGAGGGGGGGGAGGGAAGGGGGAGGGGAGGGGGAGGGGGGGGGGAGGGGGGAGGGGGGAGGGGGGGGGGGAGGGGGAGGGGTAGGGGGAGGGGGAGGGGGAGGGGAGGGGAAGGGGTAGGGGGAGGGGGAGGGGGAGGGGGGAGGGGGAGGGGAGGGGGAGGGGGGGGGGAGGAGGGGGGGGGCGGAGGAGGAGGAGGAGGAGGAGGAGGAGGAGGTGGAGGAGGAGGAGGAGTAGGAGGAGGAGGAGGAGGAGGGCCCGGGTGCAACGGCGGGTTCGTCAGCCGCACGCAGGTGGGGTCTCATGGGCTGCTGCCGAACGAGGGTGTTCCCTGAGATCTTGGCGCTACAATGTTTTCACACTGGGCGTTCTCGGCCTATTGCGGGCCACGGGACCCTTACAGATCGATCCGGCTCGAATATTGACGCAGAAAGATGGGGTCCAGGGCTTCGGTCGTGGTCTTTCGCGATGTTGCCACTTTTTCGCAACGTCGGATCTCAGGGTCTGGCTCGCCACCGCACTACGCTGCGCAGACATCCAGCCGCCCGCCAGTCGACGCCAGTCGACGCCCAGTCGACGCCGAATCGACGACGCACGAGGCTCCCCTGAGCTGCTGCCGAACGAGGGCCTGGGTCGCCACCTCACTACGCTGCGCAGATATCCGGCCGCCCGCCAGTCGACGCCCAGTCGACGCTGAATCGACGATGCACGAGGCTCCCCTAAGCTGCTGCCGAACGAGGGCCTGGGTCGCCACCTCACCACGCTGCGCAGATATCCTGCCGCCCGCCAGTCGACGCCCAGTCGACGCTGAATCGACGACACGCACAAGGCTCCCCTGAGCTGCTGCCGAACGAGGGGGCCGGGGTCGCCATCTTACTTACGTTCAGGAGGGGAACAAAAACACACAGACACAATTAATCGCCGATTCCCAGGAGAATATGGGAAAATATGGGAAGTGGGGGCGAAGACAAAAACCAAGAAGATATGGGAAAATATGGGGAATCATTTTATTTGTGTGTATTTATTTGTGTGTCCCAGGGCCCCTTCTTACGTGCTCGACCATGGACCCCTTGTTCCAGGAGGGGATAAAAAACACACAGACACATTCCATCGTCGATTCCCCGGAAAATATGGGACGGGTGGGGGAAGACGAGAACCCAGAACAGATGGAAACATTTACGGGGGATCCTGGGATTTGCGTCTATTTATGTGGATGTGTGTGTGTGTGTGTGTCCCTGGGCCCCTTCACTGTTACCCCTCGCTTCTGGGCGGCCTGGTGATCCAGGGGGTCCTGGCTGGGGATGGGAGTGGCTCTAGGACCCCCTGGGAGTCGGGGTCGTGGCTGGGGGTGCGGGTGGGGTGTACTGTCCTCGAGGGTGGTGTGGTACAGTCGAGGTTGATTAGGAGGTCGACCCTGGCCAATCACGGGCACCCTTGTGTCCTGTGCTTCGCGGCCCATGCCTTCTGCATTCTTGTGGCAGCGTGGCTCGCGGAAGGGTCAAGTGTCCTCTCGCGTGTCCTTTCCAGTTAGCCCCGAGCGTGCAGGTGCCCTCTTGCCCCCCAGGAGTGGCCTTTCGCCAGAGGCCCCCCCCCCCCCCGAGCACCGCCTCGCCTGCCTGGGCTCGACCCACCCCCGAGGCCGCGCACCAGAGGCCGCTCCCGTCCAGGGCCACTCCCTGCGCGTGGCCGACCTCCGCGCTGATACTGGTAGGACGCATACGGAGACCAACATGACACTCAAGGTATCATACGGCGGAGAAGCGTCACATATCCCCCCCACCCCCCTTCCCCCACCGTTCCCCCCACCGTTTCCGCTGACATCCGTTGGTGAAACAGTCAGATCGCTGGAGATCCGGGCCCCCTTCCCTCCCCCTGCACCGCCTTCCCCCCCCTTTCCCCTCCCCCCCTCCTCGCCCCGTGTTTGATCCTCTCCCTCTCCACGACGCTTTCTCCGCCGCCGTTGCGCGCGCAAGCTCGGGCGGTCTCGCAGCCCGCGCGACGCTCACAGCTGCGAGACAGGGTCGCTCCGCCGAGCAGGAGGATGGGAGTCCGTCGCATTCCTGAAGGCTCCCCGTGTTGACTCGGCACCCTGAAACCTTCCGGAGTGCGTCTTGCGCGCGCGGGCGCGTGTGCACTCCCCACCGGCCCGAGGACGGGCGCCCCGCTGGCCAGAGGCCCACCTGCGGCGAGGTCGGCGAGGCCGGCTGGGCGTGGTGAGCGGGCCTGCGCGGTCCGTGCATCACCACCCACCAAACCACCCCAACCCAACCCGAAGGCTCAGATTTACCCTCGATTTCCAGTGGGGGGGGGGTCGGGAAACATCGAAAAAACACATGTGGAACCCTACCCCCCCCAACCCGAAATTCGGGTCTTCGGGTTGGGTTGGGGTGGTCTGGTAGGTAGTCAGTGCAGCCACGGGGGCCATTCTGGATGTCTTTTTCTTCCAAGATGGCCTTTTCTTTGGCGCCGAGGAGCCTCTCGGGCGCTTTCTCTTCAGGATTGCCCCGGGAGGGCCCCCGCCGGCCCGCCTCGCCTCGCCTCCCGTCCTCGGCCTCCTCCTCGTTCTTCCTCCTCCTCGTCGTCCTCGTCGTTGTCGTCGTCCTCATCCTCTTCGTCCTCCTCCACTTCCTCCAACGACACGTCGGCGCAAGCTCCTTGTCGGTCGCCAAGCGACTTCAGATCGCCGCAAATTCAAGATTTTCGCACAGTTTCCCACACTGAAGGGGAATATCGGGGGCCGCCAGTCGAGAGCGATGGCTGCGGGTCTCCGCCTTCAACCCCCTCATCGCGAATCGGGTCGACCGCATCGGGGATCTTGAGCAAAATTTCAGGGGCTTCGACGTGACGATGTTCATTGGCTCACAGTTGAGAGCTCCAGAGGATGGTCAGGTTACTAGGAGGAGAGTTGGGACATCCACGATCATCCAGGCGGGTTGGCTCCCAGGGCTGTTTTACGGATTAAGGCTGCAGGCTGTTCTTTTGTCTTGGGAGCCGCGCGGAAGAAAATCAACCGTCCTCTTTCCCCCCCTCGCTCTTTACAGGGCAGGGGGCAGGGGTCTTGGAATTCGTCTGAAGTTCAAGGGTATCGGCAGTCCCCCCAATCGACGCCTACTTCCCTCCCACGCCGCGCGTGCTGGCCGCCAGGCCTAAAGTGGATCGGCGATGTGTTGAGGAAAGCTCGAGGTATGACTTCGCCGATCCTGGCGGTAGACTTTGAATGACGGGATGGGGATGGTGGAGGAGTCGGATAACGCCGGTTTTTCTGGAACGAGCGTTCTTCGGGAGGCTGTGGTTTCGAGGGAACTGTATATCCAGGGCTCTTGTTGTGTTCTTCGGAAGCATCTGGAGGAGTGTGATTTGTATTCGTAGCCTTTGGCCACCCAGTCACCCCTCCTGGCACGGGCCACAGGGGGAGCAGAAACGGGTAGGTGTGCTTTTTGTTCCTCGTTCTATTCTGGGCTACTTGCGCAAGGCTCGTGTTCTTCGGGAGCTAGGACGCGAGGTGCAGCAGATTCGTGCACCCTGCTCAAGGGATCATGTACCCAGTCACGCCGCGTGGAAGATTTCTTTCGCGCCGGGGGGGGGTAGGGATATTCGTCCCAGGTGGGATTTCGCCTCGCTCATGGCCGTCGTCGTCAAGATTTGATTGCAGCGGTTGAATACGAATTCGCTGGACGAGAGCGTGAGCTGGTACAAGTTATTGGCACTACCTTCTCTCGGCTGCTTCTGTCAGGTAGAAGCAAGATTCTGATTGGGCGATGTCTCGAGGTATTTAGCGCGGAGGCTTCCGACACCAGTTCGCAGGTTGAATACCGAGAGCGTCGAGAGGAGTTGACGCCGCAAGATTCGCCGTGGGCTTGCTCTCGCCACCGAGGAGGAGAAAGTAGTTGCGCAGCAGCTAAATGAGGTCACGGCACTAGCGCGCAAGGAGCGGAAGGGGGACAGTGGACCGAGAAGCAGCGGATGTATTTAGAGCTGGTGCAAGATGCCCGGCGAGATCGACGGTTCGCCGAAGCCCATCAGTATTCTCGGCTGGCAGATGGCTCATCTCGGGGTGTATAGAAACGGAGCTATTCGCGCTTGCGCGGTTTTGCTCGTGCGGAGGAGGAGTTGTTGGGTGTGCGACAACTTCCAGGGGGTGCAGGCGGCGTGGCCGCCACGCAATTCGAATGCCAGGATTAGCGGTCACAGAAACTTCAAACGCGTCTTTCCGGGCCCAGCAGATGCATTGATCATGTAGAGGAGGCGGGGGAGGAGCTGGGGGGATCTTTGGGTACCTGAGAAGAGCCTCTAACCGTGGGGCATGCTCCATGGGTTCGGTGCCCGTAGTGGCATGGCTGATGTTGCTCCGGCCGAATGACCGACTCGTTTTTCAGCTTTCTGGATTGGGATGGGCATCCCAGAATCCAGTTCGTGGTGCGCCAGCTTTCCCGCCAAAATATTCTTACGGGGGCTTGCCAATATTCGAGCCTCGACGGGCGCGCCAGCGGCCAGAGGCCGCAGTCAAGGTATAGATGTACATGGGAAGGCGGTGGAGGGAGCGATGGGGGAGAGGGTGGTGCATTTGCCGGATGCACTGGGGAAGGGGTTCTTTGCGGCGGCCACCTCGGCTTCAACCGCGCGAGCGTGGCTTTGCCCGGGGCCGGCGAAAAGAAGGGGCCTTCCCTGTGCGGCAGTGTAGCATGTATCGAGTCTGCGATCTGGGCCATTCAAGCTCGCTCCAGGGCGAAGACGCAAAGACATGGCCAGTGCCTTCGGTGCTTCGTCATGGGTTCGCTGGGCGACGCAGTGCAGCGGTTGTTTGCGCCGCGTGATCGCGTGATCGCTCGGCGTCGCCATCGCGAGGCTACTGTTCACCATCCATTTCGCTGCTGGGCATCTGGATATCAGAGCAGGCTCTGGCGCGTTGCTGGGGGGGGGGGGGGGGGGGGCACTTGCTGTTCGTTGTGATTGTCGTGCGTTCTGGCCGCCCATTGAAGGGTGGCGAGCAGCCCGGCATGAGTGCGATGATCAGGCGAACGCACTTCTGGCCCCTCATTCTTTGGAAGGTGGCAGCGGTGGTTGTCTCGCTAACCAAATATGCCGATGGTGCGGAACAGCTTTTTCTGGAGGATGGAGGTGAGCGTCGCGAGCGGGCGCGGGGCGGGGTGGGGGTGTGGGGGCGGGGGGTGGGCGGGGGCGGGGGGGGGCGGCTATGTGAGGGGGCGATGACGTCCAGCGTGCCCCTCGACGCCGTCCTCGAGCAGAGGGGGTGTCGACAGAATGCCGCCAAGCAGCCTACCTAATCTTTTTTCTTTTGTCGGCTCTGGAGCTGGCCTCGGGCGGCCGGTTCTGCGTTGCGCTGAGCGCCGTGGCTTCGAGGGCCCCCCGGTCCATCCGCGATGTCGAGCGCAAAGTGGGGGGTGGGGCTGCGTTTTCGGGGCGCCGCGGGGGCCGAGGTCGCTGGGGGGGAAGAGGCTGGCAAGACGTCGTGTCGCAGGGCGGGGGCCATTTGGGGCCTTGCAGGGATCCCGTGGAGGTGTGTGTGTGTGTGTGTGTGTGTGTGTGTGCGTGTGTGTGTGTGTGTGTGTGTGTGTGTGTGTGTGTGTGTGTGTGTGTGTGTGTGTGTGTGTGTGTGTGTGTGTGTGTGTGTGTGTGTGTGTGTGTGTGTGTGTGTGTGTGGGGTGTTTTTGTTCGTGCGTTAAGAGTGGCGAACTCGGTGCGGGCGAATCGGGGGGCTTTTTTGGTTTCCAATAGCGATTGCTCGACAACAATGCAAGCCGGCAGACTGCGGGCGCGTGGCCGGGCGTGGCCGAGCAGCTGGCCGGGGGTGCGCCCGCGTAACAGCCGTGTCCAACATCGAAGTTCTGCGGCGCTGGGGGTCGCTCCGATGAAGATCGATTTCCAGGTTGACCGTGTTAAATGGCTGCAGAGTTGGATTAGGCGCCCCCGCGGTCACTTTCAGGACGCAGCATGTGTTTTCGGCGCCGCCGCCGCCGATGGAAGGGGCTGTCGCGGCCGATGCGAGCCCCCGGGCCGAACGTGTTTGGGTTGACATAGCGAAGTTGTGCCGGGCCTCGGAGCGCGATGACCTTCTGGATGTCGTAGTGGGGGAGATCTCGACCTTCTTCATCGATCCAGGCGTTCGCGAGGGGTTCTGTGCGCTAGACCCGGTATTCTCCGACGCAGGGTGCCAGGACACATGGTTCCTCCTCCAGGTCTTCAACGAGGGTCAGTGGTCGTGTGTCTCCGATGGTCTCATGGGCAGCTTGTTGATTTGGGGCTTCCTGAAGGGGTGCGAGAAGATGCTGTGTTCCAATTTGTGCCCCATGCTGACGGGAATTGTTGCGGGGGGGTCTTTGCTGCTAAGCAACAGCTGTACGTTCGTATTCGTGCTGGCCACGGTGCTCGTAGCGTAAGCAGTGTTTTGACGAGTGCCAACCAGTGTCCTGGCTGCCTGGAAATATTATCGATTATTAGTTTTTCTTTAAGGCATCCAGCTGACAGTTTTACGAGGGGATACTGTTGGAGAGGAAATCTCGCCGCTCCGCCGCGCGTTCGACAGCCTGGGCCCAGAAGGTGACGAGCTTGTGATTCTGATGGTGGGGCCCTCCCGGACCTCCAGGTGCACGTCCGTGGCGATTGTCTTCAAAGACACGGGACCTGGAGCTCCACCATGTGTAAGTTTGTCTCCCTTCCGCAGATCGATGGGGAGTCGCCCGCCGTGGGCGTGCGAGCGCGCGGCGGCGGGCGCGAGCAAGCTCGCGCTGTTCATCGTCGCGGAGTCCAGGGTTCTGGCAGGGGCGATCTTCACAGCCGTGCTCGCGCCCGTGGAGGCGCCGATCGTGGCGGGCATGCTCGACGGTGGAGTAGGGCGCAACGGGCGGGCGCAGGAGTGGCCCGAGGCGAAGAAGGAGGCGCTCGCCAAGAACGAGGGTCTTCCCGACAACGCGCGGGGGCTGCCCCTCCTGGTGTTGCACGCGTTGGCGGTGGAGCTGTTGATCAAGGGCGAAGGGGCCCGCGCGACGAAGCGGGCGGAGGAGCTCGGCGAAGTAATCCCGGAGCTGAAAATGGTACGACGCCGAGGTGTTGTGCAAGCGGGATGGCGCGCTGAAGGCGAGCTGCGACGCTCGCTGCCTGATGCGCAAGCGCGCAGAAGGTGGGGGCGAGGCCGAGGTCGCGAAGGTCACCTACCTGTTCCTACCCGCAGAGATGTGCATGGTCGTGCGGCGACCCCTCGAGAGCGAGCTCCACAAGGCCGGGGGGGAGCGCGCGCTCGGCAGTGCTCCTCGGGGGGCTCTCGAGTGCGAGGGGCAGGTGTTGCTCGATCGGCTGAAGGAGAAGAAGAAACATAACAATAATGATATGAAGAAGAATAAGAAGGATACTACTGATAATAGCAAGCATGAGTAATGAGAAGTAGTCGCAGATTCCGAGAACTCTTTGAGGCGGGGCGGCTTTCAGGCCTTGCTCTAGAGATTGCTTTCAAGCTTTTCGGTTCCCCTCTTGGTCCTCTCTCCTCCTCATCGAATCCTCCTCCTCTGGCGATCGGAAGTAATTCAGGGGCCCCCAGCGAGGCTGTGGGTAGATTGGGGGGCATTCGATCGCGTTTCCCCGAGGGCCTCGAGCGATAGGTAGAGGTCGTGGGAGGAAGGGGTAGCAACTGTATTTTTTGGTGGTGCCAGGGGGCGGCTCGAGGCTGCGTGCCGTCGTGGCCTGCCCCTCAGGCCCCGTGCGGACCGCGTGTCGCCAGGGCCCCTGGCCGTCATGATCAAGGGTGTTCACGAATATCACGCTGGATCTATATGTATTTCAATGTTTGTTCGGAGTGGGGCAGTGCAGTGTTTCGTAATTGGTCGGTGGAAGCTCGTTCTAACATCGGCTGGAGCTTCCAAAACGTTCATGCTTATGCGCTCATGCTCATGCTCCTCGTCCTTCTCCCCCTCCACCTCCTCCTCCTCTTCCTCTTGCCCTTCTCCTCCTGCTCCTCCTCCTCTTCCTCCTCCTCCTCCTCCTCTTCTCCTCCTCCTCCCCCCCTCCTCCTCCTCCTCCTCCTCCTCTTCCTCCTCCCCCTCCTCCTCTTCTTCCTCCCCCTCCTCCTCCTGCTCCTTCTTCTCCCTCCTCCTTTTTCTCCTCGTCCTCCTCCTCCTTTTCCTCCTTCTCTTCCTCCTCCTCTTCCATATCCTCCTCGTCCTCCTCCTGTTCCTCCTCCAGCTCCTTCTCCTCCTCGTTCTCCTTTTCCTCCTTTCCCCACATCTTCTTTTTTTTTCATACCCCCGGGTTGGAGGCCACCAGCGAGACATGTTTTTTTTTCCGCGGAACCACTTTGCCCACCCCGCGCCTTTCGAACGGCGGGGAAGGGAGAGGTGGCCCTATGCTTGCCCCCGCGGGGGAAAACACGGGGGGGGGCAACGACGACACCAGCGGCCACCACGACCACCGCGACCATCACCACCACCACCACCACCACCACCACCACCACCACCACCACCACCACCACCACCACCACCACCACCACCACCACCACCACCACCACCACCACCAACACACCACCACCACCACCACCACCACCACCACCACCACCACCACCACCACCACCACCACCACCACCACCACCACCACCACCACCACCACCACCACCACCACCACCACCACCACCACCACCACCACCACCACCACCACCACCTCTTCTGCCGCTTCCTGACAATGGCGCTCAGGACACTTCTTGGTCAGTCCCTGGCGCCACGGGCCTCCGCATCCGTCCGTTTCCTTCTCTCTCTCTCTCTCTTCCCCCCTCCCCTCCTCCGCCTCTCGTTGTTGCTCCTTGTCCCCCCTCTCTCCTCCTGCTGCTTCTGCTGTTCCTCCTCCTCCTCATCCTCCTCTGCCTCCTCCTCCTTACCCCTTCTGCCTCCTCCTCCTGTTCCTCCTCCTCCTCTTCATCCTCCTCCTCCTCCCCCTCCTGCTCCTCTTCATCCTCCTCCTCCTCCCCCTCCTCCTCCCCGTTCCCCTCCTCCCACTCCGCCGTCTCCTCCTTCTTACCCCTTGTGTCTCCTCCTCCTCCTCCTCCTTCTTCTTCTTCTTCTTCTTCTAGTCCTCCGTACCTCGAGATGACGTGGTTTCCTTCTCCTCGTCCTCCTCCTCTGCCTCCTCCTCATCCCATCTGCCTCCTCCTGACGATGGCGCTCCTTCCCCTATTCCCCCTGTCTCTCTCCTCCGCCTCTTGTTGTTGCTCCTTGTCCTCCTCTTTTTTTGTCCTCGCCCCCAACGACGTGCTGAGAGTAGCGCGGCTCCTGTCCACGTTTTTGTTGCTTAATCCAGGATGGGTTCGAGTTGTTTGTTTGTTCTCGTTGGTCTATCCGGAGCGAACCTTCCCGGTCCTTCCAAAATAGTGCGCAGCTGCAGCGTGTGCCTCGTGTCAGGATCGACGCTTCTCTCCCGTCGTTCAGAATCGCGCTCTAGTCCCAGCGCGGGCCTCGTTCCTGTATCCGAGTCCTTCCTCATCGTCGTCGTTCCCATCCTTTACCCCTCCTCCGCCTTCCCCTGGTATTCCTGCTCCCGCTCCTTCCACTGTAGTTCCCACTGCTGCTGTTCGCTCCTCCTGCCCCTTCTCTTTCGGCTCTTCCTCCTCATCCTCCTGCGCCCCCTCCTCCAATGTACGCAGCCCCCCTTCTCCGATCGCACATGGCGCGTTGGGGTCTTTACTGTAGTTCCAGGTTCGCTGTGGCACGCGTCTGCGGACGGAGAAGTGATCAGCACAATGGTATGGGATTGGGCGGGAGGGGTCGGATGTCAGGTACGGCCGCGAGCGCCCCTAGCTTGACCCCCCCCCCTCTCTCCTCCCTCCCATCCTACCGCCTCCTTCCTCCTGCGCTCTGCACTGTACCTTCGGGGCACCTGGCCCGTCCAACGACGCGCGGTATCTTCGTGCATCCGCGAGGATTCGGCGTGGACTCGAAGGGGTTTGACGCGGATTCGGCGCGGGGTCGACGCAGATTTGGCGCGAATGGCGACGCGACGGGACAGGCGATGCCCCTCCGAACCTATAGCATACGTTGGTTCTCGCCCCTCGTCCTCTTCGGATAGCGACGAGCGGGGGGCGTCCGCAATTTTTTACCCGGCCCGGCAGCGCAGAGCTCGCTCAGCAAGGGCGCCTGTTGACTGCCACGCTGCGCAGTATGCCGGCTCGCCGCCATGTCTGAGCTTCCATGTCCAAAGAGATGCCATTACGCCATCGCACCGTTCTCTCCGAATTCCCTCTTTGCTCTCAGCCCCACGTCGCTATTCTCATACCCCTCCACTTTCGATCCCCATCGTGGTCGCTGTAGCACGTGTAGAGGGGATCATTACCGCTAGCATCCTGTGATTATGATCATCACACATCCCCGTATGCACAGTCGACCTCTTTTGCTTTCCTCTCCGACCGCCTTAGTCTTGGCCTCCTCCTGCTTCTCCTGCTCCTCCTCCTCCTCCTCCTCCTCTTTTCCTCCTCCTCCTCCTCTTTTACCTCCTCCTCTTCCTCCAAGTCCTCCTCCTCCTCCTCCTCGTCCTCCTCCTCCTCCTCCTCCTCCTCCTCCTCCTCCTCCTCCTCCTCCCCCTCCTGACAACCACATGGCTGCTGGCAGGCTCGTCAAGCGAACGAAGCACTCGATCCCCCCTTTCCACGGGCCAGCGCGGGGAGGAGGGGAGCGGCCTTGCTTTCGTGCGAAAGCAGACAGGCAGGCGAAGGCGGAGAAAAATGGAACGACGGCGGCGACGCCCAGGGCGAGCCTCCTCCTCCTCCTCCCTCCCTCCTCCCTCCTCCTCCTCCTCTCTCCTCCTCCTCCTCCTCCTCCTCCTCCCCCTCCTCCTCCCCTCTCCTCCCTCCTCCTCCTCCCCCTCCTCCTCCTCCTCCTCCTTCTCCTCCTCCCCCGCCTCCTCGTCCTCTGATGGGCATCATGGGTTGGAGCGTAGATCTGCACCACATGCTGAGGAAGCCCCGACGCCTCAGGCTTGACGTCGCCACGTGTAGCCGGACCGACTTTCGGGGAAGCCACCGTAGGGAACGCCTCAGGTTCACAGCCGCCACTTGCTGGACGCCGCAGCTCTTCCGCCCTACTTCGGCATATGCTGTCGCTTTTTCGCTGGCTCGTGACCTGGCCGATGGCAAGCAGCTTGTGGTGAGGACCACTCCCAAGATTGGACGAGCGGTTGCGCGGAGCTCGAAGCGAGCCAACCACGCTGGCGTCGAGCTTGCCCAGCAGGGGGTGCTGGCTTGGCCGTTGTTATTGGTATGCGGTACGGCTGCAAGCTGAGAGGTGAGTGAAGAAGACGGATGCTGACATTGTTTTTGTTTCGTCAAGACCCCCATGCGAAGCCATACATACATGATTCTGATCAGGTCTGCCGCGCGTTCGGTGTGGAAGTCTGCTGGTGGCGGGGCAGACACGGTGGAGTCTGGAGACTCTTTTGCAGGAGTCCTGGTGCTGGCCAAGAAGCATCTGCGCCCCTCGGGACTCTACGTGGAGGCGCCCTTGTGGACTGGAAGGCCAACAGTTGTCTTGGTGGTGCGTAGCCACCTTGCGCCTGAAGCGTGTGACCCTCACCTTGGTGCCTATGGTCGGGAGGCTTATGGTAGGCAGGGCCGGTGGCGTCCATGCTTATCACGTATCTCTCCAGCTTCCGAGCCATCGTCCAGTGGATCTTCCCTGTCCGTCATCCTTCCCTTCCTCCTGTGATCCCCCTCCTTGCTGGGACGAGCGAGTGAAATACATACGAGGGAGCGCGGGGAGGAGCTGAGGGGATGCAGATTGCACGGGGCATGGGGGTCGCAGCGAACCATTGCCTCCACCTCCCTCTAATGCTCCTCCTTCCTCATGCTCCTCCCGCCTCCTCGACGCCAGCTGCGCATGGCCATCGCGGCTCAAGCAGCGCGCCAGCGAGGCGCTCGCAAAGTTTTGGCTCAAGCCATCACGGCTCAGGCAGCGCGCCCCAGCGGCGCTAACGAACTGCGCCGCCACCATGGCGCCAGGGCCAATGTGAAAACGGGGAGGTAAGTCCCTGGACGAAATGTCTCACGAGAATCGCCACGGTAAGGTGGCAAGTGCGATGCCAGGCGGTACGGCCTCGGCAAGTGGGAGGTAATTCTCTGAGCGCGGACAGTGTCACTGCGCGCGTGTGTGTAGCCACAATAATGTGGCAAGGGGCGTCTCCAGGCGGTAATGCCGAGGAGACCCTCGCAGCCGGTAAAGGCTGCAGCGGTGTAGAACCCAAGGCTGCAGCGGTGTAGAACCCAATGTGTCGACAGAGGGTGACGAGGCGAAAAGGCCTGTGTTGTCTCCCCGTCTACGTGCGTGCGTGGCCCAGTCATGGCCAGCTTCCGCCGAGCTCGAGCGGTATCTGCTTGATCACGGCGTTTTGAATGTTGTGAAAGCAAGCGCGTGGTTTGACTCGGCGGAAGATGTCGTCACGGAAGTGGGCGGTAATGCCCAGCTGGATGGCTGTAAGCTTTACAGCGCTTTCTACGCGGAAGTGGAGGCGGTCCCGCAGGCCTCTGTCTGGGGTGCTGCGCGCGCAGACGTGGCCAGTGGCACGTCAAGCGTGTTAGCGCCGGTACGGGCGTCGAATGCAAACGCTGTGGTGGTGAAACCAGTAAAGGCTTCCCAGGTAAGCGGCGGTCGTAAGCGCCGTAAGCAGAGTGGTACAGTTGTTTGCCAGGATCGCGAAAATGCGTTTCTGGAGGTGCAGCTCATGAGGTGCGAAGAACTGGCACGGGAACTCCCCGGCATGGGCCAAGGCTGCTGCCTCGGGCAGTGCGGGCAGTAATGCCCAACACTATGGAAATAGGGGCGGTAATGCCCTTGGCCGCGGGGGCGTTAAAGCCCAACTAAGCGGCGACAGTGGTGGTGATACCTCGGGCGCTTGCGTTAACGTAGCATTGGGCGGTGCTGCCCACGATCGGGCTTCCCCAGGAAGTAATGCTTCGGGGCGGTTTCGCGGCGAGCGCCTGCCATGAAGGTGTTCCGTGCGGCTCTGGCGGTAATGCCGGGCCTAGTGGTGTTCAGATTGCCCGCGGGGGGTCGCCGCGCCTGCGCCCTGGTAATATCGCCGTACCTGCGCCGACGCAAATTGATACGTGTCACAACTACGGCGTGCTGGTTCGATTCATCAGAGCAGGTATTCCAAGGGCTCGTTGGACACGGGTTAGACTTAGCCGTGTCCATCGAGCCCTTGAAATAATCTTAGTTGAGGTGTGGAGAGTTTTTGCAGAAAACAAGTGGGTCGGCTGGCAAGCAGCCAGGTCTTGCATCGGCGCCCAGCTGAGGAGTCTACGCGGACTGCGTGCTTTTTCTTGTGGGGGGGGTAATCTCGCCGCTCAGTGGATGCAGTCGCGGGCCCGCCGCAACGCTACGTGGACCAAGGATGTGTTCCCCGCGGGACATGCTGGTCGCGCGCGAGCGCGGACATCCAGCTCGAGTGCGAGCGGCGGGCCGTCGCTGCGAGGTACACGGGATTTCTCCCCGAGCGACGATTCTGCCATCGCCAAGTCCAGCGCCGCCGGGTAAGGGGCACGCGTTGGATGGGCTCACCTTCTCGCCGCTGGTAGTGTCCAGGCGTGGCAGGGTGCGCGTTGGGATGAGGCCTGGACCTGGCCGCGTGTCCCTTGCACTTGGCGCGAGAAGAGGCCACTGGTTACGCAATGAGAGTCCCAGAGAAAAGCAAGGGGTAGGAAGGAGCAGGAGGAAGGAGTAACCCTTGGCGGAGGATAGGATGAGGTACTGTGATAATGGTCGGGAGGCTGATGGTAGGCAGGGCCGGTGGCGTCCATGCTTATCGCGTATCTCTCCAGCTTCCGAGCCATCGTCCAGTGGATCTTCCCTGTCCGTCATCCTTCTTTTCCTCCTGTGATCCCCCTCCTTGCTGGGGCGAGCGAGTGAAATGCATGCGAGGGAGCGCGGGGGGGAGCTGAGGGGATGCAGATTGCACGGGGCATTGGGGTCGCAGCGAACCATTGCCACCACCTCCCTCTAATGCTCCTCCTTCCTCATGCTCCTCCCGCCTCCTCGACGCTAGCTGCGCGCGGCCGTCGCGGCTCAAGCAGCGCGCCAGCGAGGCGCTCGCAAAGTCCCACAAACCCGCCCTGGTAACCTGCCGAATTAAATTGCACAGCTCTGTTGGCAACCAAAGCGCGTATGTCCTCATGCGGGCATGTGGGCGCAAACGCGCGCTGTTCTCCTGGTATACGGCGTAGTGCCGTCAAAGGGGACATTGTCGCTACACGGGGGCCGACGGATCTTGCGCGTGCGCGGTGTGCAATAGTTTGGTATATGTGCTCGCTCCTATATTGACGTGCGTGGCTTCTGGCGTTCGGGTAATACTGCGTGTGCAACTGTGCGCGGTGCGCGTGCGTGTTGTCCTCGCATTCAACATGGCTCGTTTCTCTAGGTTACCCCCGCCCGCGCTGGTGGGGAGTCTCATGCGAAGTGATGTGGTCATGCGGGGTCTTGCCGTCGGAGGAATTGTTGCCCCCCATGAGGGGAATGCAAGCTGGCGCGCAGATCTCGGAGCAATCGGCTTGCGCGCGGAAGGCGCGGCTCTGGCGGTGCAGGCAGACGGCAAAGGCCAGCGTTCGTGGCAGTGCGCCTGGCGGAAACGGTAATGCCTCGGCCAAAAGTGCCCCAGTCCTTCAAGCTGCGCGGCGTAGTGGCGCGCGTGTGCCACGGGCAGGTCGTGGCGCTGCGGCTATTTCAGGACGCAAAGATCCGACGCTCAAGAACAGGGGGAAAATTGTAGCAGCCGGTTTTTGGCCCTTCTCGGCACCCGGAGGCCCTCAACGGGCCCCGGGGCCGTCAAACATTTATTCAGGACAAACAAAAAAACGGCCAAAGGAAGCTGTTGGGACATTCAGGGCCCCCCTGGGACCGTGCGTCGAACAAATTGGAGCGCGCGGATGTTTGGGGGGGCCGCGGTCACGTGGCAGAGGGCGCGTCCAGGCGGTGATGCCAGGGCGAAAGAGGGCAACTCCTCAAACGCAATCTGCGCAACTGCAAATTTAATTCATATCTGCGGTAAGGCGGCAAAGTAGCTCCCCCTGTGCCGCAATGCTGGGGCGAGCCGCACGGCCAGTGGGGGTTGCGACGGCGCGGAAGCCACTGAGGCGACCGAGGGCGACAAGACGGAACCGCCCAAGTTGGCCGGCTCCCCGTTTGCACGCGCGTGCGTTTTGTTTGTTTGTTTGTTTGTTTGTTTGTTTGTTTGTGAGTGTGTGTGTGTGTGTGTGGTGTGTGTGTGTGTGTGTGTGTGTGTGTGTGTGTGTGTGTGTGTGCGTGCGCGTGTTGTAGCCCAGGTTCCGGCGAACTCGAGCGGTATCTGCTTGACCTTGGCAGACCGGCCCTTGTGAAAGCGAACGCGCAGTTGACTCGGCGGAAATTGTCGTCGCAACACCGGGCGGTCATGTTCAGCTGGCGGACAAACGCACCACAAAAGCACAAAACAATAAACATTGAACAGTGTTTTACGCTGGGATAGAGGCGGCATTGTACGTGGTGCAGCCGCAACGCGGTGTAGCGACAACGTGGTGCAGCCGCTGCGTGATGTCAGTTCGAGGTGCACCCGCAGCGTGGCGTAGCAGAGTGTTGTATCCACTGCGCGGCGTGACAACAGTGCGGTGCAACGCCGTGAGGTAACCAGAGCGTTTTTTAAGCGCAACGCGATGTGACCGCAACGCGGTGTAGCCACAGTGTGGTGCAGCCGCAGCGCGGTGCAGCCGCAGCGTGGTGTAGCCGCAACGTGGTGCAGCCACATTGTGGCGTAGCCACGGCGTGGTGCAGCCGCAGCGTGGTGCAGCCACAGCGTGGTGTAGCAGCGTGGCGTAGCAGTTACATGCTGTGGCCACTGCGTGGTGTAGCCACAGCGTGGTGCAACGACGCGGTGCGCAGTATGGTGTGGCCACAGCGTGGCGCAGCCACAGCTTGGAATAGCCGCAGCGTCTTGCAGCCGCACCCCGAGGTATGCGTGGTGTGGCCGCATCGCGGTTTTTGCCACAGCGTGATGTAGGGGCACCGCGGGGTAGCGACAGTGTAGTGCAACAGCGCCGTGTAACCGCAGCCAGCTGTCGCCACAGCGTGGTGTAGCCACAGCGTGGTGTAGCCACAACGGGGTGCAGCCATAGCGGGGCGAAGCCGCCCGCCACTTAGTGTAGCGACAATGTGGAGCAGCCGCAGCGTGATGCAACAGCAGATGCAGCCAGGGCGCGGTGTAAGAGAGAGAGAGAGAGAGAGAGAAAGAGAGAGAGAGAGAGAGAGATAAAGAGAGAGAGAGAGAGAGAAAGAGAGAGAGAGAGAGAGAGAGAAATGTATATCCACGGCGCGGCGTGGCGTTGCGTTCACTGCAGCGCGGTGTAGCCGCAGCGTGGTGTGGCCACAACGTGGTGTAGCCGCAGCGTGGTGCAGCCGCAGCGGGGCCAGGCCAATGGTGTACAGTGTCGTGTAGCCACATCGTGGTGCAAGTGCTGCTTGGTGTAGCCGCAGCGTGGTTCCGCCGCAGCGGGGGGGTAGCCACAGCATGGTGTAACAGCGTGGTGTACTCGCGACGCGGTGAAACGTAGTGTATCCACAGCGTGGTGTAGCCGCAGTGAGAATGAACCTCGTGCTGTAGCCGCAGTGCGGCGTTGCGGCCACAGCGTGGTGTACCCGAAGTGCGGGGTTGTGCAGCGTGGTGTAGCCGCAGCGCGGTGTAGCTGCAGGGTGATGTAGCCAAAACGTGGTGTAGACAGCGCGGTTGAGCCACAGCGCAGTGTATCAACAGCGCAGTGTTGCCACCGCGTGGTGCAGCCAAAATGTAGCCATGGCGTGGCGTTGTGCGCGCCGACGTGGCCAAGGGCACGTCGGGCGTGTTGGCGCCAGGTCGGGCGTCTGGCGCGGGCGCAGTAGTGGCGAAGCCATCGCAGTCTTGCGTCTAAGCGGCAGGCCTATGCGCCCGAAGCAGAGCGGTGAAGCGATCTGCGCGGGCTGCTTAAAGCGGACCTGGTTGAGCGGAGAAACAGCAAACAAATCACCAGAGCGCCAAGTTTTCACTCATCGAAGGCTCGCCAACGGCAGTCTATACAACGACGGCGTACTGATGCGGCACGTGGGAGACGAGCTGGGCGCGGCGTTTGTGTCCGCGGTAGGGGCGCGTGACGTCAGAGGGCAAGCTGGTGTGCCGGGCTTCCAGTGGAGGCCTTCGCGATCTTTACGGCCAGGACTGAGGCGTTTTCGAGGCGGTCTTGCCAGATCTGTGGAGCAGGGAGCGGGTGCGGGATGAGGCCTGGACCTGGCCGCGCGCCCTTTGCACTTGGCGCGAGGAGAGGCAACTGGTTACGCAATGAGAGTCCCAGAGAAAAACAAGTGGTAGGAAGGAGCAGGAGGAAGGAGTAACCCTTGGCGGAGGATAGGATGAGGTACTGTGATAATCTACTGTCTCAGGGCGCGGAATGGGTGGCCGCAATCTCAAGGTGCTGATCGAATTGGGTCAGAAGTTCGGTCTTGCTGCGAGCCCGATTCTGGTGATATGGGACCGGCAGAAAGAGCTGCTGCCTGCCCCAATGAGCTCGGGGTTTCCGAAGCAGCTGGGCCTGGAGGCCAACTTGTCGGCTACTTGCGTTGGAGGTCGTGGAGCGGCTGGCCTGGTTGATGACGCCCGCGAGCGCCGGCTTTTGTCTCCAGTCGGTCGATCAGTCTGCGTTCTGGGAACCAGTGTTGCTTTGCGTTTCTCGGTCTTCTTTCATCGCCGCAGTGTTTACGGTTGGGAGGTTGTTTTTTTCCAGAAGCTCGGGAGATCGCGAAGAACGACGCATGAAGCTTTGGATCGGGCCTGTTTGGCCCGCGAGGAGCGTTCGCGCCGTTCTTGTCGTGATCTCGCGGCCGTGAAGGCGGCGCCCGCGCAGCGGGGGGATGCGGCTGCCGTCCTGTCCCCGGGGCGCGAGCTCGGCGAGGGGTCTCTCGCTCTGACGTCTGTGGGCGCCCGAAATGGGTGCGGAAAGAACGGGTGCAATGCCCGGCAGCAACTCCGGTTCATTTTGAGCAGGACTCGCTGTCCGCGACGCCGCGGCCTGTGTCCATTTGAGACAGAAGGTCGCCTGCCCAACAGCGGCCGCTGTTGGTTTGGGGCAACATTTGTCGTTGGGCATTGTACCCATTCTTTCCGTGCCCATTTCGGGCGTCCAAATCTGTGCGCCGTGCCAAGGAAGGCAGCCCTGGTCACGGGTCGGAGCTATTCGCAGGTCGTTGCCAGCAGCCCGCGGTCAAGTGGGCTCCTGTTCGTCGTCGAGGCGGCCTCTGGGGCCTCCGCTGGCGGACCGCCGCGCCCCGCTCTTGGCGCGCCTTCGAGGTGCAGCTCCCGCAACTGTCAGGAGGGGAAAAAACACAGACACAATTCATCGTCGATTCTCCAGGAAACCACGGAAACACATGGACTTGGGGGGAGACGATATCGCGGCCCGCCCCGAGGACCGGCGTCCGCCGCCGCTCGAGGACGGCGGTGGACAGGTGGTCCGGGGCCGTGAGCCCCCGCCCCCGCAGGCGAGGAAACTTGCGCCGTGCGGGGCAGCGTGTCCGCCCATGGGTCTTGCTCCCGTCATGCTATTGAAGGTGTCAATCGCGCGTCTTGGTCCCTGTCTGACGATCGAGTCGGCCCCGTGCGGCGCTTTGTTTTGCCGCGCTTCCCCTGGGCGCCTCAGGCCGGGGAGTTCTCGGGGTATGGGGGTGCCACCGTGTGCATGTCAGATCCCAGTGAGTTCGTCGTGGACTCTGCTGACGTCAAGTATGTCCATGATCTCCCCAGGTATTGCAACACGTGTTTCAAGCGAATGAATGCAGGTGTCCTTGTCTTGCTCCTGAGTAGGCCTGAGAGACGGTTCGTCGATTCGTCGCGGCTGTCTCCAAAGTTCAGGCCCGCTGGAGATTGCAGGGTGATGACTCTGCTGAAGAGCAGGCTTTCTATCTCGGGAACCACAGCGCGGACCTCAGGGTCGAGGGGGCTCTGCTCAGCCACCCCAGAAACGATGAAGCCTTGGAATCCTCTAACCCGTGCGTAGAATATTTGCAGGCGTCGTGCGAACTCGCAGCCAAGCTTTTGCCCGTGTGCGCGCCTCTCACTGTTTTCAAGGACATTGACTATGTCCCTCAGCCCGTTGGTCCAGCACAGTCGGCAGTGTGTTACCGCCACGTCTGGTTTAAACTTGGGCGCTGCTCCAAATGCCTCCGTGTCCGGCGCGCCAGGGATGATGTGAACCCCCCTGCGGGCTTCTGTTCTGGTTGGAAGGCGTGCAGTGTTGAAAGCTCAATTTCGTTTAACCATGGATGTGCCATGTCCCACTGTAGCCAGGGTGCTCAGCTCCATTTGCGCATGCAATGCAAGTGCTTCACCTCCCTCGGCTCTGTCCACGGCCTCCTTGTCAGATGTGTGACCGTCGTCCTGGCATGTTCGGAATTTGGTCGTGGCAGTAAATCTGTAGAGGTCGTCACCCAAAAAGGAACACAGTTTCAGTGCAACTTGTGGCAAGCCTCGATGCAGGACGCTTGGAAGGATCGCTTCAAGCCGCCCCCAGCTCTCCGCCATCCGTCTCCTCGTCCGATCTTTCGTCAGCGCCGAGGGAAAAAACCGAGCATGTTTCCCAGTTGCGTGGTGTGCAGGCTGCCTTTTCCCTCGAAGAGGACGAGGCGTCCCTCGTGCTACCCATTGGGGAGCGTGAGGACGATTCTGCTTAATTCACGAGTTTGTCCTTGTCAGTATCATTGCTGATTTTTTTGGGCTCGCCACGTTCTGGCTCTGTGCTAGACCCCTCCCAGTTGGGCTCGATGGGCGTTTGGGCTCGCATCGTTAAAGAAAGACAAGATCGTCTTCCCCTTCTCCAGCCTCCTTCCTATGTTTGCGGGGGTCTCGCGCCCCGCTCCGCCAAATTCTCCCGTGCGCCGCCAGGGCGCCGCCCGGAACCTCTCGCTGGCCGCCCGCGGGGCGCACGTTGTGGATGGCGGAGCGGCCGCACAGCCAGCGTCCGCCAATGGTGGTGGTCTTGGTGCTCGGAGGAGGAGGAGGAGGAGGAGGAGGAGGAGAAGGAGGAGGAGGAGGGGGAGGAAGAGAAAGAGGAGGAGTCGGAGTCGGAGGAGGATCATCATCATCATCATCATCATCATCATCATCATCATCATCATCATCATCATCATCATCAGCATCATCATCATCATCATCATCATCATCAGCATTTTCGTCAGCATCATCATCATCATCATCATCCTCATCATCCTCATCATCATCATCTTCATTACCACCCCCACCGTCACCATCATCGTCACCATCCTTATCCTCATCCTCATCTTTGTCCTCATCCTCATATTCAGCCTCACTTGATCCTCATCCTTATCCTCCCCCACATCCTGGAAATCATCATCATCCCCCTCCTCGTCCTCCTCCTCCTCATCATCATCATCATTCTCACCATTGTTGCAGTCATTATCATCACCACCATCAGCATCAGCGTCATTGTCATTGTCATCTTTATTGTCGTCCTCATCATCATTACCAGCATCAGCATCACCATCATCCTCATCCCCATCCTCATCCCCATCCTCTTCCCCATCCTTTTCATCCTCATCCTCACCACCCTCATCATCACCATCATCAGCATCAGCATCGCGAGCATCCTCATCCTCATCACCCTCATCCTCGTCCTCACCCTCGTCTTCATCCTCGTCACCATGAGTATCATCATCATTATCAGCATCAGTATCATATTCATCAGCAACATCAGCATCGCCATAAACATCATCATCAACATCATCATCAACATCATCATCATCACCCTCATCAGATCGTCATCATTATCATTCTGATTATTCTTACTTCTATCATCATTACTATTACTATTCATATTATTATCATCATTTTTTTTTGCTACCGCTACGACTACTACTACCACTACGATTACTATTACTACTACTACTACTGCTGCTGCTGCTACTATTATTACTACTATTACTACTACTACTGCTATTACGACTACTACTACTACTACTACTACTACTACTGCTACTACTACTACTGCTACTACTACTACAACTACTACTACTACTACTATTATTATTATTATTATTATTATTTTTGTTATTAGTACTAGTATTATCACTACTATCATTTCAATTGTTCGTATTATCATCGAGAGTATTATCATCATCGTCATCATCGTCATCGTCATCGTCATCGTCGTCATCATCATCATCATGATCATCATCATCATCATCATCATCATCATCATGGAGCTCGGGTGCTCAGCCACGGGGGCCCGCCGCGGCGGGCGCATCGCGGACCTTGTCCACGGGGATGCGCGGCGTCTTCCCTTGGCCGCTGGGTGCGTCGACGCGCTCATGCGGGGCGGCTGTCCGCCTTACCGCCAGCGGGCGCCCTCCGCACTCCTCCCTCCTCCTTTCCCTCCTCCTCTTTCTCCTCCTCCTCCTTTTCCTCCTTTCCCTCCTCTTCCTCCTTCGCCTCCCTCCCTCTTTTCCTCCTCCTCCTCCTCCTCCTCGTTCGCTTCCTCTTCCTCCTCTCCCTTCTCCTCCGCCTCCCTCCTCTTCCTCCTCCTCCTCCTCCTCCTCCTCCTTTTCCTATCTGTTCCCTCCGCCCTCCTCTTGTGCCTTCTCCTCCTCCTCACTTTCCTCCTCCGCCCCGTCAGAGTAGCCGAGACTAAGTACATGTGCAGCGGGCTGGTTCACTGCACAGTTGCGCAAGTGGTGCCTTCCATCTGCGCCTCGGGCTGGCCCGGCGCGCAGT